CAAATTTTACCAATATATTTTATATTAATACCTAATTGATGTAATTATTCACTTAATTAATTTGAATCAATTGGTAAAAATTCAAGAGATTCAAATTTATTAATTAAATCATGTAATAATTAATTTTATACAAAATTAGATGCTTACTTTAATTCATTATAATCTGCTTCTGTTTCAGTAAGTTTAATTTACTTTAAATATGCATCAGAATTTAAAGGTTTATTCCAATTTCTTACAAGTTCTGGTCTCAATCTGGAAGTATTTTGAACATTATCTAAAAGAATTACAGGCATCAAATCTCCACATTTTAATAGATAATATATAGATAGATTCTATGGTGGAAATTCATTGATATTTTATTCATTTTCAATCCATCTTAATTCAATATAATCTTTATTAATTTTATGAACTTCTTAAAATAAACTCATTGGTATTATATTGCTTATCATTTCATCTTCAAAAAATTTATGTTATTTTAGATTTAATCTGATACTAATTTAATTCATATATTATTGAATTGCATTATTTGTAACAAATTAACCATCAAATGTTGGACCATGAATTAAAGTAGAATCATCTATTGGAGGTACTGCCAAAACAAAAGCTCTTATTCCTTTATAATCAATTATACAAGATAATGGAACTCTTAAAGGATAATTTGTTTCTTCTTAAATTAATAGTTCAATCTATTCTGCTAATAAAGACAGATACCTAAATTCTATCTTAAATATTATTAATAAATACCATTTCCTAAAGCTTTTAATTAAAACTCTTCATAAATTTAAATTTCTTATTTACCTTATTAAGTATGAATTTCTTATGATTTTAATTGACAAAATGATAATTTTATGAATAATCCATCATAACAATAAAAATCATCTCCAAAATCAATTGTATTTTCTTACTAACTATACATTATATATTTATCTTCATTTAAACAATCTGTTGGTTTAATTGTTTTCATTTAATTAGGCAAACATAATTCATCAATTATAGTTTAACAAACATCCATAGAATGATCTCTCATTCTTCCTATAGATTCATGCAATACAAAACTATTTACAATACATTCCTCTATTGTTTTTGGATCTTTCATATTTGCTAATTCTATAGCTTATAAATAATTATAATTCCATGCTGTCTTTATTCTATTCCTTATAATATTTTTTTTTTATTCTTCCTTATTCAATAACAATTTTTCTTATTTATTTTATTCTTCTATTTTTTTCTATAAGTTTAAGTTTTCTTATTCTAAATATTATTCCTTTTCTATTCTACTCCTCAGTTCTGTCTAATGAATCTCCTTTTCTTTTTGCAACTATATTTATAATTCTTCCTATTTCTATTATTATTCTGACCTTTATTTTTCTAATTATAATTGAATCTATTGAACTTCCCTTTATTAATTCTCTTTCTCATTAGTATCCAATTATTATTAGATACTACTTTTCTACTTTAATATTTCAGATTATTATAAAGATGGCTGTTAAGGCAATGATTACTAAAACTATCTTGGTATTTATAATTCTGATTATTGATATTTTTCTGGATGTTTTACTTTATCAATTATTTGAGTAAATTCTTTTAAAATCTCTGATTTTGAAAATGCAATCTCCCATATAATTATTTCCTTCTTCTTTGTAATTACTATTGGTTATTAAGCAGCCATCAAGTCTCTTCCATAACTACTATTAACACTCATATTTGTGCTCCTATTTTTCACTTTTGAAGGGAATATTGCATCCTTAGCCATGAATGTTATCTCAATTGAATTCTATTTTTTTGGTCTTTCTGGTGGTCCTATATATAATATATTCTCTATGATCACTGATATCTTAGGCTACATTTTACTTAATTCATTCATCTCTATTTTTCATAAATCAAATTTTAACTTACATTTTGGAACTTTGAAATAACTAAGCATACCATTCGATAATTAAATCACTCTCTTGTTCCAAAACATCTTTGAAGTTGATCTCTTTTCTACTTAAAAAATGTTAGAATGATCTTATATCACAGGCTTATTCTTTGGTTCAATTTACTATGAGGAAATTGAATTATTCATTATAATTGATAAAAATAAAAATAGATAATGAAGTAATAATTCTAGAAATTACAATAAATCATCATTATTAATAAATAATGAATTTATGAATATTGAGTTAAATCAAAGATTTATTAATACTGCAGAATTGTTTAATACTTAATAAATACCTAAGTTTGAAATATTAAAAAAATGCATAAATATAAAGTTGAAATAACTTAATAATTTGAAAATAAATTATTAACTTCTTGCTAATAAATTTAGAAAATTTTTCAAAGAGTAAGTTTGAATAAAAGAATTTATAAGAATTAAAATAAAATTATTTAATCAATTTATAATATAATTAAGGCAATCTCAAAATTCATCTTCACTGTCATTATATAACTATTTTGTTATAATAGAACTTTTTTATTTTTAAGATCTAATAACATTTTAATGAACTGGTATCTCAGATTCTTAAGGCTTACCAAATTGAGATATTTATGTAGCTGGTTTTTTTGTTTAGAAAATAGTTTGTATGTTTTCTGTTTAGAAGTCTTCAGAATCTTCAAAACTACTTTTTCTTTTACTTGAAAGTTATTATTATTATTATTATTATTATTATTATTATTATTATTATTATTATTGTTATTATTATTATTATTACTTTTAAGATTATTAAGATGTTTTTTTTTCTAGTGGCAATAATTAAGAAATTTAATCCTTTTCTTAAAAATTTCCTATTCTATTTTCTGATTATATTTTTTATAACTATTATGGTTCTTATTTTTAAGATTTTGTCATCTGTGATTTTAAATCCTTTACATTTTCTTTAACTTTTTAATTAATATCATATTCTTCTTCTGAATTATTTGATTAACTTGATGGAGGAGTTTCAGGCTATTAAAAGCGAACATTTCTAGATTATTCAATAATAGTTTTTCCTTATTTTTTTACCAATCTTCCTTTAAAGTCTTTCTATTATTATATTTTAGATGTATCTTCTCCTCCATCAGAATCCATCTAAATAACATTTGGTCCATCATGTTTTTTTATTTCATCCAATTCAGGATCAGCTATTCTCATGTCTGATTATTTCTTATCTGATAACAATATAGTCCCATTTAATTAAGTTAAATATTCTTCTAATTCTTTCTAGATTAGTTAATTCAATAAAATTTACTTCACTTTTAAATTGTATTTCATTCATATTTACATTCAATACTTCCTTGAGTTTTCTCTCTAATTCATTATCCAATTGAATATTTCTAAAATGATCCATCAATTCTTTTGTAATTTAAGATTTCTTTTACCTAACTGATTTAACCAAATGATGAAATTCTTTTTCTTCCTATAGAAAAGCTGCTTCCTATTAGTTATCTATAATAACAGAAGGTTCTTTTTAATCATCATCACTTTTAGAATCATTAGTAACATCCTCTTTAATTTCTTATTGCACATCCTTAGCATCATAAATATCATCAGCAATTTCACTGATCTCATCTTCAAGAGGTCCTGCATTATAACTAAAATTTTCAGGGGGAGGAGTTGGTAATCTTTCCTCTACCTTAACAGGTTCAGGAATCTTAAGATTATCAATTCTGTATTCTATTTATTCAATTTTATCTAAAATTTCTTATGGTCTATGAACTGCTATATAATTTTGCAGAGCTTCCATCTATTATTGTAGAACAAGATTTTTCTATTCAAATTCATATTTAATTTGCCTCATTTAATAATCATCCATTTTTTCATCTTCAAGATCTTCATCTAAGGAAGAATCAGAATCATCTGCTTATTGTTACATAAACTAAGCTTATTACATGGTTTATAACATAAAATCTTATTAATTTTGATTATTGATCATGGAATTAATTTATTATTGCAATAACAAGGTTTAAACTGTAAGTAGAGTTTCTTAGAAATTTTATTTTGGTTTTTCAAATTTATCAATATGATGTCTTTAATAATGTGCCTCAAGTAAAGGAATTGAAATGAATGCTTTGCCAGTACAGTATAAACAGGCATATACAGTTTCTTTTTTGGAAGCTTCTAATTTGATTTTTTTCAATTCTTTTTTTGCAGATGATAGTTATAGTTTTAATTTAGTGATATTTTTTTTGGATTTGATTAGAATATGCTCATTTTCACTGATTTCATTCTCTAATCTGAATTCTTCTTTAAATATTTGATCAATTGTTGTTTCTTAATATTATTTTGTGTATTCAAAATATAGTAACATCATTTACATCAGATAAACTAACTTCAAATATTTGATTGTATTAACAGAATCCTTAAACTCACGTTCAGTTGTAAAACCTCTAAATATGTCAATAAAATTACTATTGTAATGGAATAATGAAAGATTGTAAGGTCTCCAAATCACTATTCCTTTGCATTAATTCAAAATCCAAGTTATTTAAGGTTTGAAGATTGATTTTTGTGTTTCTGAGAGTATTTGGTATGAACATATAAGTAATAATGTTTTTATATATGTTTATTTATATATTTTAATATTTCAATATTTTTATCTACGAACACCTGCCAAGCATGCTCTATAAATATTTCTTGGGTTTTCTGGGAACATATCAGCATGTATTCTTAAATCTTCAATGTTGTCTTAATATAATTGAATTTTTTAGATACCCAATTCTCCTTTTTTGGTCCACATAGCTTCTGCTGTATATCTTTTACACATGTCTTCTGCTTCCTATCTCAAAACTGGATCATTCACTCTACCAGTAGCATAATCACATCCTTTCCAACAAATTTGGATTGATGGGTTATACCATGAGAAGACATCTTAACACATAGCATAACATGTGCCACCATTATATCTTAAAATTTGACCACCTTTTTATAGCATAAATTCAAACCTGTTGCCATTCAATTGAAAATATAAAATTAATAATAATAAAGAAGATGTTGTTTAGATTTAGATTAATTTATAAAAATAAATCATATAATATATTAATTATCACACTCCTTATGGGAATTTCATCATTTCTAATTCCTTTATAATTTCCTTAAAAGATGGTCTCTTCTCTGGATCTCTATCCCAACATCTCTTAGTTAATCGTGTAAAGACTTCTGGAGTCTTTTTTGGAATAGTTGGTCGAAAATCGTTATTCAATACATCTAAAGAAACTTATAATCCAGTGATATCTAATTCATAAATTGGGTAATGTACTTCTATAAGGAGGTTCCCTGGCTGCAATTTCCCATAAAATGATTCCAAAACTAAATACATCTGCTTTTTCTGTATAAACTTACCCTGCAATAACTTCTGGTGCCATCCATTAATATGTTCCAATCTTACTAGTCATATAATTAGATAATGTTCTGGTCCAACCAAAATCTGCTAATTTAGTTCTAAATGCTTCATCCAATAAAAGATTTAAACTTTTCAAATCTCTATGTAGAATAGGGGGATTAAATGAATGTAAATATAACACTCCTTTTGCAGCATCTAATGCCATTTTTCTACGATCTTCCCAAGTTAAATGAATATCTTGATTTTATATCACCTACCATAAAGATCCTCGTTAACAATATTCTAATACTATAGCTAGATTTGGTGGTTTAGTACAAGCACCAAGAAACATTACAATATTTGGATGTCTAAGAGCTTCCATAGCATGACATTCAGAGAGGAAATCTCTAATATGATTCTCATTCATTCCATCTATCTTAAACATTTTAACAGCTACAATAGTTTCCCTCCATTTTGCTCTGTAAATTACACCATATCCTCCCTCACTAATTTATTTCTCTAACATTATATCATTAAAATCTATATCCAAACTAGATTAAAATATTCTATGTTTGATTGGTCTTTCTGGTGAAATTTCTAATGCAGAAATATCAAATTTAGATTATTATTTCTTTATTTATCTTTGTATATATGATTCTGTTGTTTAAACTTTTTGATCTTTAACTTTCTTTTTAGATATTAATTCATTTTTCATTCTATCATATTTTTATTGTAATTAAATGTTTTATTATTTCAATATTTCTTATTCATTTCTATATTTTTCAACTTCTTCATTTAATTTATCCTATTCCTTATTATTATTGTCATTTTCATCTAAAATAATTTCGAGATAAGAAGGTGATAATAAAATTGAATGAAAATTACCACATACAATTTTTTAAGTCTCAAGTACTGTAAATAATAGTTTAGGTAAATTAAATCCCTTTCCATTTACACTTGGTTATCCTGTTAATTATCCATAGATATTGGAACCCCATCCATATATTTATTTATAATCTGCAGATAATGCTAGACTATGATTTCTTCCTGCAGCTATTTATGATATCAAAGGTAAACCCAATATCTTAATAGGAACATCTGAATAGTTTAAATCATTGCCTAATTATCCTTGAATATTATCACCCATAGAATATACTTCTCCTTTACTTGTTAAAAATAATGTAAACATTTCACCCATCTTCATATCTAATACACATTATTAATTATTAAATTCATCTACCATTTTAATTTGAGTAGGTTATTTATAATATTCTTTATTTGATTTACAATAACCCCATAAATAAGGTTTTCCACCTTCAATTATACAACCTGAATGTGCTAATCCACAACTGATTTTTTCTACTTTAAAATGAGATAAATTTTAAATTAATTTAAATTCACTAATTGTCTAATTTTCTTAATGTCCTAATGCATAAGATTCACCAAAACCACAAGAGAATATTCTATTTTTATTAGTCAATATTAAAGTGTGTAATGCACCACATGCTACTTATTAAACTGCTTCATCATTTTATAATAGAATCTAACATTAAGTATCATTAGTATTCTTTTATTTGATCTTTTCTTTCATCATTACAAGCTATTCCATTATATTGTCTATTGATGAAGATCTCTCTTTTAATCCTGGAGATGTAGATTAATCCCCTTCATTAGCACTTTTCATTCTTTTATGACCCTATTATTATTCTCTTGCCTTTCCATTACTATTACCAAATGGTAATAACCCATATACAAGAGTGGGTTAACTTATATTATCAAAACAACCTAAACCTAATTGACCTTTTAAATTTAAACCCCATGAATAAACTTCACCTTTAGCCGTCAACATAAATGTATGTTCAGCTCCACAAACAATACTTGTTATTCTTTGATCTTTAAATATGGGACTCAATTTTGGCTAAGTATTTGATTCATATCCCAATTAACCAAATTAGTTATCACCAAATCCTATAACTTCATTCTTATTATTCACTATGATTGTGTGATTTTCACCTGCTGAACATAAGGTCACTCCTTAATAATGTGGAGTGATATTTTTATTATTCTTTAATTATTAACCACAAGTATTTAAACCTATATTAATTAACACTCTTACCCCATGAATACAATTGAATTGTATCTAATTACAATTATCTTGGTGATTTTGAGAAGTCACTGTATGATCTTGGTGGTCTAACATCCTTTTCCTTAAATTGCTTCAACATCTTCCTAGATTCTGTCAAGTCATTTAATCTCATATTAGTTACTTTATATTTAAAATTCAAATTTAATTATATTGTTAATTATACATAATTTTAATAATCTATATAAATATTCTTCTATTTACAAAATACAAAACATAATAATTAAATTATATATAATAAAGGTTAAAAGGATGTAATTATTTCATTTATTAATATTGTATAGAAAAATTCAATATTTACAATATGATCTATATATTTATAATTTTAAATAATATAATTTAATAATTTGATATTATGAAAATATTTACTATATTATTGAGATTCTACAGAATATTACTCTATTCAAAAGACAATTTTAAAACTATTAGAAAATTTGAGAATATATAATAATAATAAGGGGATTATAAAAAACTAATTATTAAATCATTAATTTATTATAAAAGATCAGAAAATCAAGGTAGGTTCATTTGAAAATTATGATAGGATTAGTTTTTGATGTTAACAATGTTAAGAAATAATAAATAAATTGAAATTTTAGAAATATTATATTAATAAAAATAATCTAAAAACTTTTGTTACCAAATTACTCAATGTTGATATCAATTTAGTAAATATGAAATTGCTGGAAATTACTGATGGATAATTTAAAATTAATAGAATGATAGACATTAAGATAATGAAATTATTATTTTAAAGCCTCTATAATAATGGAATTAAAATTGAAGGAAAATTTAGAGTGATATCAAGGACAATTTAAGAATGTGGGTAATTGCATAAAAACAATGAATTTCATAACATTCTTCTTCTAAAAGTATTTGAAACTTTTTAATAAAACCCAGTTGAATGAGCCAATAATTATGTTGTTGGATTATGATATATATTATTAATTATGAATTAAAGTAATTAAAGTATAGTGAATAGACATGGATTTCAGTACAAAACAGGAATAAATTATTATTAAATTGGAGTGGCTATTCTATACATTGCACATTACATAATAATATTATTTCAAACCTTAGATTATGTAAAAAATAAATTCAAATTTATAAGAATCAACTTTGGATTTTGGTTACGATTTTTTCAATTTTCATCTCGATATTTTGGTTTATTACTACAAAAATAGATCCAACAGATCCAGAGATATATATTTAATATAAACTTAAAGAGAAGAAGTATTTTAAAATGATTATTGTGATAGAGTCAAATATGAAACTAAATTGAATTGTTATTGTAAAGTTTGTCAAGCTTATGTTCAAACTCCATCGAAGCATTGTAAATAATGTAATAGATGCACAGAACTTTTTGATCATCATTGTGTATGGTTAAATAATTGTATAGGGTTAAGAAATTATAAATATTTCTTTATATTAATAGTACTTATAGAACTCTATTTAATTACTGTACTAATAATTTCAATATTTATTAATAATATACTCAGTTATGTATATATGGGAGTAACTATTATGATAATGATTCCCATCACATTTTTACTGGTTATGCATATATATTTTAAATGCAAGAATATGACTACTTATGATTTCGTATTAAGTAGAAGAAAAATTGAGTAGAAATCATCTTCTGAAAAATTATAAGAAGGTACATCTAATCAAACAAATTTACAAACAAATATCATTTCTAGAAATTATTTACAATAAACTCATTTAAATATCTAAACAGCTGTTTCAAAACCAAAGGTAATCAAAAAAGGAATAGATTGGGAATAAGAGGAAGCAGATGTTGAAGAAGGAGACAGTTATCATGCCAAAGAACCATTACCCTTACCTAGCTAAAAAAGTAGTGCCAGATAAATAGATTCTTAATGCAATTCAGGACATAGAAGGACTTGTCCAAATACTTAAAGGTATATAGTGTTATTAAATTTCAAGAGGTAACACTTCGACAATATAATTAAATGATCATAAACCAATCAGATCTTTATTTAATGTTAAAGATTTCTAATAGATAATTGAAAATTAATTAATGAATAATGTGAATGAAGGTTCCATTATTCAATTTGATTCAAAGCATTCATAAAAAACTGATTAAATTGAAATCAATATATGAATATTATTGGTTTCTAATATTATTTATTATAAATTATGTAATAAAATGAAAATGATCCAATATAAAATGATAATAATCAACAATTCATTTTATAATAGGAATAATAAGAACCAAATTAATAACAAGAACAAAATGATAAGAAACCTCAAACAACCTTAGAATAATCAGATGGAAATTAAAAATAAAATGAACAATTTAATAATACTTCTTAATTTACAAATAATCAGTAGTAAGAAGTGAATAAAGAGAAAACAACATTAGACACTGATTAACAAGGTGAAATTTAGGAGGCTCTAAATGAAAAAGAATAGTTTGAAAAATAAGAGTAGCCAAATTCATAGTAAGATAACATCAATAAAATTGAGTAAGATAGCATCAATAAAAATGAGGAAAATTAGTAAGTATAAATTGTTGATCAAATTATTTAAAATGGTTAAAGTGCTTAACCATCAAATAATCATGAAGTCTAATAAGATTAAAAAGAAAATTAGTATAATAAAGTAAATTAATAAGAACAAGAATAAATTAAAGAATAAAAACAATAAAATAAGAAGAAAGAAGATAATCAAGTAGAAAATTAGGGTTAAAGAAGCAATTAAAAAAAGAAAACTACTAAAAGAAGAACTACAAAAGTAGAAATATAAGAAAATCTAGAATAAAATAATCCTAATTAATCAAATAATGATATCAATTAATAGAAGTAGGAAACTGATCAAAATAATTAAGAGAATAAGGAGAAAGCAGATTTAGAATTAAATTAATAATAGATAGAGGAATAATAATAAAAAGAAGAATTATTGAAGAAATAAGAATAGGAAAAATAAGAATAGGAATAATAAGAAAAACTATAAAAATTATTATTAAAAGAGAAATTTCTAAAGGGTATGATTTTTCCTTTAAGAAGCTAAAAAAGAAAAGGTAAATAAGTAGATTTAAGTTTTGAAATTGAAAGTGATAAATATTAAGTAGAAAGGAAAGAGTGTAAAAGTGCTTAAAGATATTAAAGAGAAAAGAAACCAAGAACAAAGAGTGTTATTAATAAAGAATTAGTTGATTTTTACAATAAAATGAATCCTGAAAAACCATTTGATCAAAATGCAATGACTCCAAATACACTACAACGTAGAAAAAAATAATAAGAGTTAGATGAGATGAAGAGAGATTGTTAAAGACTTGAAGAATAACAAAATTCATAATCTTTACCATAATAATAATAAAAATCTTAAATAAATAATAAATAAAGAAACTTAACATAACCAAAAAAGAAATTAGAAGTATTTATAAGAAAACGTAAAAAACAAAAGGTAAGAAATGGTCTTAGAGAGAGAATGTTAATAGATAAAGATAGAGATTCTTAATTAAAAGCATTAGATTTTATTAGAAAAATGTAATAGAATAGAATGGCAGCAGAATTAAAAAGATAAGAATAATTGGAAAAAGTAAGTTATAAAATTTCAAGTGATTTATAAAGTTTGAGGTAGAATAATTAAAGATATAGAGAAGAATAATAAAAATAAAAAAGAAAACAAGCACTTGAATAAATTGCAAAATAAGAATAAAAAAGATATGAAATGATGTTAGAATAATAGAAAACTGAAAAATTTGTTAGAGAATTAAAAGAAAAGTCTGCTGTGGTTAGTCATTATAGTGCTAAGAAATTAGCATTAGGTTCTCCTTTATCTCTTGTAAAAGAATTAGAAAATGGATTAATCAAAATTGAATAAAATATTGATACTAATAGAAAAATGAATGAAAATTAATTCATACTTAAAGAAGAATAAATAAAATTAATGAAAGATACTAAAAAAAAATAATAAGATTAAAGTAGGTAAGTAAATTAAATGAATCTTCCTAAAATAAATGAAAAGAAAAATTTTGAAATGTAAAAACAAAATTTTACTACTGAAAATAAAGAAACTTTGCCTGAAATTAAACCTAAACCTAAGAAAGCTTGGTAAATAGAGTAAGAATTATAACAAAAAAAATATAAAAATAGTGAATAATTCAAGGAATGATTATAAACTTATAAATAAATAATTCTAAAAAAAAAATAATATATAAAATTATATAATTATTTTTTTAATCAAGGTTCAATAATTATTCCATTATTATAAATTTGAAAAACTTAATTTTCTTGATTTTATTTATTTTATGCTTCTTCATCTTCTTCTTCTCCAGGATTTTCCTCTTCATTTTCATTTTCTCCAGAATTTTCTTCTTCATTTTCTCCAGAATTTTCTTCTTCATTTTTATTCTCTACTTCATTCTCTTCTTCATTTTCATTTTCTTCTTCATTCTAAAATTGTTCTCTTTCATTTTCAGAATCAGTATCTTTTGAAATGATTTCATTTTAAACAAGATCTGATATTACTGAAAATTTCCATTATCCATTTCTATATCCATTTAAAATCTAACCATCAAATACATCACAAAAATAAACTATATATTTTATACTATAATACATCTAGCATCATATTTACCAAATGTTTTCTCAAATAATATCATATTTCCTGTTATTTCATTATCATTATATACTTCTTTTCCTTTTAATTTAAAGATTTCATTTTCATCATCACAACCAGATAGACATTTAAATCTCCAAGTCCATTCATCTTTCTTTTTTCCATTATCTCCATAATGACCTTCCTTAATTTATAAAATTCTAATATTAATTAATTTAATACTATCCTTAATCTCTTTCATTTTCTACTAAAATATATTAATCAAAATACTAGCTTTCTCTCCATAATCCAATTTTTACATCATTAACATATTCACCCACTTCACTAAATAATAAATACATATTTTACTATAATATCCATTTATCATCATAATTAATAGATGTTTTCCATCTTCCATTTTTCTTTCCATTATTGAATTCACCTTTTGATCGAGTTCTATATTATAAATTATAAAAAGATACAAAAGAATTTTAAAATTTCCAATACAATCTAATATTTCTGCTTATCCATTTAATACTCCATTTTCATAACAACATTTTCCTTTATGACCTTATGATGAAGAGATCCATTCATTAATTCTATTGCCATCATCATTATATAACCCTTCTTCTTAAATACGTCTACTTGAATTATTATTATTTACATAATTGAATCAGCATGAAAGTTTTAATAAATTCTAATTTCTTTCCAATCTTTAACTTTAATACCTTATTCATAATTTCCACAATAGTAATATTCTTCATCAAGATATATATCCTTTTGTTTTTCTTTAAATGACCAATATCCATTTTTCTAGTTATTTTTATAATTTCCTTAAATGGTGGTCAACATACTAGCTTTTGATGAATACCCAATAGGTTCTGTCCAAACTCCTGTTTTTCTGCCTTACTTATACTCACCTTGAGAAACAAGATGAGAATGAATTTAATGTTCATATTATTCATATAATGTTGATTCCCAAACGTCTTCCTTCACTCCATCATCATTATACTTTCCTTCTGAACAAATAAAGCTGTATATTTCTTTTTATTTATCAAATATAATTGAGTTTTACTCTAATTCTATCCATTTTCCTTTTTTTATACCTCCAATAAAATAATTCCCACATTATCTAAATTAAATTTGCTATCTTACAAAAATTTATTAAAATTGAAAATAAAACTTTAAGTAATTCGTTATCCCTCATAAAGCAAAAATTCTTCAACTAAATACCAAATATCATTTGAGATATTTGGTTACTTATAAAGGAAATAACAAAAGGAACTTCCAATTTCTCTATCTTGAATGAATGTTTTTTCTCCTCTTAATAATAGATTTCAATAATACAATAGTTAATCATTTATTTAATATATCCATTTTCCTTATTTTTTACCTTAATTATAATCTCCTTTTGCTGTAATTATGTGTTGTCTATAAACTTCAATCACTTCTTTCCATGTTCCATTTTTTTAGTTCCTTTCGTATTATCCATAACCACTAAATGCAATTATAAAATACATAATATTTTTCTAGTTATCTAGGTATTCAATTCTCTTGTTTCCATCCTTGTCGAAATTACTATCAGCAACTTAAAATTCTATCAAATTCATTTTATATTAAATTAATTATTAATTAATCATGATGTTATATTACGATGATGATTTCTTCAATAATAGACAGAAGAAAGAGTTTAGAATAAATGCAACTATTGTTATTTCAATGATCTAAATAACTATTTAAGCAGTCATAATGGTAATCAAAGGAATTTCTCACTTTTGCATTTTATATTATGCTGGATCTAAACATACACCTGCTATAAAATATCATTATCATTTTCACAGATTATTCAATCCAATCTTTTTACATGGAGGAAATGGTCACCTATTATCCAATCTGCTTAGTTAATTGTTACTATGTTATTCATATGAAAATAGAAATGGAACATAGGATTTCTTATTACTATATTTCTTAGCAGGAATTGGAGGTAATATTGTTAGTGCACTCTACTTTCCAATAGCAACTGGAGTTGGTGCAAGTGGGGCTATATTTGGTTTCATGGGTTATTAATTGGCATATTTGATAAAAACAAAATAACCTTAAGAAAAGTATTATGGAATCCTGGTAGTACTTTGTATTTAGATATTATTGATATTTGAACCTCATACTCATGTTGATTATTCTGCTCATTTTGGAGGATTTTTTGTAGGGATTTTGTGGTATTAAAAACAGAAGGCTTTAATTGGATTGTTGTTGTTATTAGGATGTGCATGCATTTTTTTGATTGAAGTACCAGATTAACGATACTGTTGAATTTATATATATATTGTATATTTTGTTAAAATAAAATTAAAGGTTTGAAATATAAGAAGTAGGGATTAGAAGTTTTATAACAGATTAATGTACTATTTTTTAAGCATTTTGATTTTAAATCATTTTTTTTATGTATTTTTAACTTTTGGTTAAGCTTATGTTCCTGCTCTGAAACCATTCTTAGCTCTTCTGGCAATTGACTTCAAATATCTCATTCTTCCTGTTCCAGTAGATCTTCTTCTAGCTACTTTCTCTCCCCATCCACTGTCTATTATTCAATTAATGAAATTACAAAGTCTTAATCTTGCAGCTGGATATCCACATGATGCACATCTATTTTTTTAGATATGGAAAGTTTATCTTCCACATCTTTTACAAAAAGTATGAGTCTTTTGATGTCTCTTACCGATTGCTGGTGTACCTCTTGCCATTGAATTATTTAATAAAAGATTTAATTTAATAAAATAGTCATCACTAAATGAGTTAATCCATTATTATTTTTAATTTCTTTTATGAACATTCCAATCCATTCATACAATTTATTTACTACAAATAGAACTATTCAATCATGATTATAAAGTAAAATACTCATGAAATACTAAAAATATTAATAATATTTAGATTCAATATATTTCTTTTTGTTTTGAATTTAATACAACTGAATTATATGTCTAAAAATAATCAAGTGTCCATAATTAAATAATTGTATATTACAAACAACTAAGAAATATTTATGATACTATTCTATTAATTATATAATTGAATGGAATATAAAAACCATTCTCTCTATACTCTTTTTTATTGATTTTTTGATAATTATTAATAAATCATTTAATATACGATAATATTTACTCAGAAATCTTCCACTTAAGCCTTGTCATTAAAATATTTGCCATGGTACTTCTCATCTCTTTAAAAGGGTAAATTATTGATTAAAAATTGACTAGTAACAACTCCATCATCAAGACTACCTGGAGCTTAAGGACCTCCCATATCGGTTTTGATCCTATTTTAATAAGTTAATTAATCTTACCATCCTGGATGCATACAGTATATTGATTAATTAGGTTTAACCAATCCACTCAATACATATCTACCATATGCATTCAAAATAGCTTTAGATGCTGAATAGACAGCCAAATTGTTATCATTTTTCTTGATGAATTCCTCTGAAAGTTAAATAATTTCTTCCTTTGTTTTTTTCTACTATAATTACTCTTTTAATTCTTTAGGTTGACTATTCAATTTTCCAAGAATGGATGACACTAAAAGAATCTAAAATTATATATAATTATCATTTACCTTTCCATCTTCTGTCAATGTAGTTAATAATTATTCACTTACATCAATTGTTCCAATAACATTGATGTCAATTATTGATCTTGGATTTTAACTGACTCCAGCATTATTTACAAGTACATCAATCTTTAAATGTTATTGTACAAGCCAATCTTTGAGATTTGTTACACTCTCCTTATTACTAACATCTAATTGATGAGTTCTGATTTCAAGATTTTAGAATTTCTTTTCTAAATTTTCTTTAATTCTTTCTAATTCATCTTGCTTTCTAGCTGTTAATATTAAAGAATATTTCTCTGCAAGTACTTCAGCTAATTTTAATCCTAATCCTCTATTAGCACCTGTAATCAAAACAATTCTTTTTGCCTACATTCAAAATTTTATAATAAATTATTATGAGTGGTAATTTTATAAATATTTTGTTTTAATAATGTTAGTCGTCTTATTATTACTGATTAAAAAGAATATTTAAATTAATCTGAATTCTTAATTTTATTTACAAAAGAAAGAAAATTCAATCAAAATTAAAATTAAAGCTAGAGCTAGATGCTCATTAAATATATATAATTACAATTATATAAAAAAGTTATCTTCTATTTTGATATCTGAATAAAATTTCTATTGATATATGAATTTCATTTTAAATCATTACTTTAAATAGCATGGCATCAATTTAGATGTATATTACTGAAAGCTGATCAATGTTTTTAAAGATTACTTATTTAAATTATGATAATTTAAATGATACAATATATTTTTATTATTCTAAATTATAATATAATGGATGTTAATATGATTATTCGAGTAAAAATGGGAATTGACTAATAAATAGCAAAACTTAAACTAAAACTAGTATTTAACATGATAATTATTTTTTTATGATTTTATTCAAATTTAGAACCAAACTGAAGTATCTCAAATCGCAAAACGGGTATATGAAGTTTTAAATATTATTTTAATGAATATGAAACTTGCAATATTGCTTGTTCTTCTTATAGCTGTTGCTCAAACAAGAAGAATTAACTTTTTGGGACATCGCCAAGAGAATGAAACTGGAAAAGAAAGTGCAGAAGAGGGTCATGGAAATGGAGAAGAAAGTCACGGAAATTAAGGAGAAGAGGGTCACAATAATGGAGAAGAAGATTAAAACAATGGAGGAGAAGAGAATGGATAAAGTGGGACAGGTGATGAAGGTAAAATTTTTAATGAAAATAGGAACTGATAATAATGGTTCATGTTCAACTGGTGGTAACACTGGGTAATCAGGTTATACTGGAGAATCAGGTGAGCCAGTTGAGTAACAAACTTGTAAAGGTGTGATATTCGATGCAGGAAGCTCAGGAACAAGAGTATTTGTTTATACTTGGCCTTGCAGAATGTTTAATTATGCAAATCCAGAGATAGAAATAACACAAAAGGTATTTAATTTACATTTTTTTTAAGGTCCCTTCAGTCAAGGTTAACCCTGGAATCTCTCATTATGGAGATAACATTTCTGGACTCAGAGAGTATTTCTAACCTTTATTGTAATTTGCAAACGAACATGTTGAAGAGGAGATCAGACATAGAACACCAATTTTATTAGGAGCTACAGCAGGCATGAGAATATTAGATTGGAGTTAATAATATGATGTTATGGAGGAGATTAGAAGTATTTTAAGGGAGAGTGGATATCTTTTTGAGTCTTCAGAATGGGCAAGAATTATAAGTGGAAAAGATGAGGTAAATTAAAAAATAAATTTTAGGGTGCTTATTTATGGTTGTCTGTCAATTATTTGAAAGGTTATTTTTCTAGTAACAATATTGATGAATAAGGAAAATTGGTTGAAAGTTATACTACTATTGATATTGGTGGTGCTAGTACTTAATTGGCTGATGATATCAATGAAAAAGATCAATATTACTTAACTTACGATGATGAATATTCAACAGATTATCATACATTTGATACATCTATTTATAATATTTCATTGTACTCTCATTCATGGTTGTATTTTGGATAAGATCAAGCTAGAATTTAGATAAATAATTTTTTACATAATTTACATAAGAGATCATCAAGTTTTGAAAATCCTTGTTATCTTAAAGGATATAAAGATAAATTCAATGATAATATTGAAATTGTTGGTAGTGGTAATCCAAATGATTGTAAAGATTTAATTGATTTATATTTACTTGGATTCAATAGCACATGTGATTAATGTTCAATTTAAGAATCATATATCCCTACAATTAGATCAGATTCCAAAGTTTATGCAGCAGGAGCAGCTGATTTTGTATCAAAAATCTTTAATGATGATAATGATTATACTTGGACATAATTTGAATATTTTGATGAATCTTGCTCAAAGGAATTTGACGAGAATAATAAAAATAAATATTATGCCACTGAATGCTTTTTAGGACTCTATGTTTAAGAATTATTAGCTAGTGGTTACAGAATACCATCTGATACGTATAAATATTTAATTATATTCATAGTTTGATAGAAACTGGAAAGATTAATGATTTAGAACCATCATGGACTTTAGCTGCAATGTTTGATTAAATTGATGATAATCATGAGTGTACTGACAGTCCTCATTGTAATTTCAGAAAACATTTGAAATCATGGAGAAAAGATAGTTTCCATCCTTCAATGAAAGAACATAAAGGTAAGGCTCCTTTATCAAATTTAATGCCTTGATATATATTGTTCATTTATATATATCAATAAAATCATTTAATTTAAATTCATTCACTTTATTATTAAAATATTATTTATAAATTATTATTTATTTTAAAGAGTTGTATTATATATAGATATTTGAATTATATCAATATTTTCATTCTTATTTAACCTTTTTGCAAGTTTCATCTTATTCATGGTATGCTTTAAACGAAACAGCCAATTCATAGCAACGTTATTTCATTGACAAAATCCAAGGTACTCTCTTGTATGTAGATATTTTCTATTTAAAATTGAAACAATTAATACATCAATTTAACCAGAGGCAATAAATTTTAGAACTTATTTAGCCATATTTTAAATTTTTTCATTATTTTCTTGATCCCATATTTCATCAAAATGTTCTATAAATTTAATAATCTTAAATACCAAGATAAGAGAGATATCCTTCATAAAATTTTTCTGAAGAAAAAATTTTCTTTAAATATGATGTATTCATAGTTTTATTAGATGATTCAGATCTAAAGGGAATTAATTCTTCAATATTATCATTGGAAGAAAAATATTCTTTGTAGAAAACTTTCTCAATTTCATAAGCGCTCATTGTTAATTCATTTAAGTTCATCTTTTATTTCAAAAATTTAAAGCACTTCCTTAGAATAAATTTGATTTATTCTTCTTTTGTCTTTTTTTGATTTTAATATCGATTGATCAATGATTCTATTAATCCATCATCTATTCTAGTTAAGATCTAAAGTAATTTTTATCAAAATTGTATATACTTTATATTTAATTTTTTCATTCTCCTCTAATACCTTAATTTCTTCCTTACAGAGATATTCTAATAATTATTTGAGTTCTTAAAGTATTTCATCCTATGTAAATTATTTCAGTATTTCATTCTCTTTCTTTTGTTTTGGTAAAACTCTTTCTGATTGACTTTTCTTTGTTCGAATGTCAGGTTATTAAATTATTGGTATTGTTCTTTGAGATGATTAAGAAAGAAGAGATATTTATTATAGAGGATTGAGTGATGGTATTTATAGATTTTATTAGTTAGCAAAATTGCTTTAGAGTGCACATAGTAATTGTAAATACTAAGGTTAATAATATAAGAATATACTTGTAGCTGTTAAAGTTATTACAATTATTGTATTTAGGGACAATATTAAAGTTATGCTAAAGTGGGAATCTATTAGAATGGATTCATGAAAAAATTAATAATTGATCAATGTTTTTGGATTCAACTTAAAATACACAGATTTTTATCAATTAAATAAAACTGAATCTAAAATGAATCATTATTATATTCAACTCCTTGATAATAATTTTTATATATTTCATCATAAATGAAACTCTTTCAATTATTATAATATATTTTTTATTTTTCAATTCTTATTTAATCTTTTCATTATTCTTGAAATTCGTTTCAGTTCCATTTAAATATACATCCATTCAATTAATTTTAATTTTTTTACTATTCCTACTCTAACCACAACTCTAACTAAAATTTTGTAATATATATAATTAAACTATTATTTTTTAATTTAATTTTCACTCTTTAACTAATTTATTTGATATGAGTAATTATGTTAAGGATTTTAGTTAACTAAATACATTAACATCAAATAATATCATACATAATTTTAATTGAACTTCAAATATATTCATTTAAAAATTTAAGTATTTTACAAAAAAATAATATTATTATTTTGAGTATTTGATAATTATTAAAAAATATTTAGTAAATATTGATAAATGTAATGATACAATGTTAATTTCATTTATTTATTTATTTCTTAATTATAATAAGCATTTTAATTTACTGCTTATATTATAAAGTATTGCAAAGAATTTTAATCTCAAATTTTTACATTAATTAAAGTTTTTTTTATTGACAAATATATTGATAATATAAAAATTTGCACATGATTATTGTAGATAATCCTATATAATACATTTTTTATTGGAATTTTCTTGAAAATATTGAATTAATTCTCTAATTTTCACGAGCTATTTAATTTATCAATTAAAATTAATTTATAAAAAAAGTATATAATATATGAAATGACTGGGAATGTATCAATAATCGATTTTTTTCTAATTAATTCCATCAGGAGAAATAAAGCAATTATAACTGATTTTCTTTCATTCTATTTTTTAAATAAATTAAAAATGTCTTAGAAACTGAAGTTTAATTAGATCATAAGTGTTAATGGTGATATTCATCATCAATCTATTTTGTCACCTATTGATCATGGATGTGTGAAAAGATAAAAAAAAGTCACTTTTGATAATTATGCTCTTTATCTTTAATTTCGAGCAACTGACTGTCCTAGTGAAGTGAATATAACCCTTTAAAAACACAATTAATAGACATCAATCTCAATTAGTACCTGACCTTTAAAAAGAAATGATTTTATTTTCATAATATGTTTCACTCTCATATATATAATTGTCTTCTATTAAAACTTTACTCATTAATTAACGATGATGATTATCTGTGATAAATTATCGAAAAGAGTAATTTAAATAGATACTCTAGATTACTGATATACAAAATAATTAATCCATAAAGGAATTTTCATTTATGGCACACTTTTCAAATTACTAATTAAAAGTACATTAGGAAATGATTCATATGTCTTTGTTTAAAGAATTGAGAGGCTATTTAATGAAATTATTTGATGATAGGAGAAAAAATAAAGAATTTGCTGACTAAATTATTTGGATTGTCAAGAAAACATATACAAATTGAGAAAATAGATTAGGAAATAAATAAGAACTGAACTATTACAAGTAATGCTTAGTTTTAGGCTTTTCAATGATATTAAAATTTGATTAAAAATATTTTAATAAAATTTTTATATAAATGTATATTTCATTATTCATAATTCAAATTTTGAATGTTGCCATTGCAAGTAAATGAAATATTATGATAATTATAGCATTGGATTGTTCAACAATAAAGGGGACAGCCTTAAGTAGTTTTGCTTATAAAACAGATGGGTCTGTGTAATTTGAATTTTCTATATCTGCAGCTGGTAATGTAGATTTAACATTTCCAACTTTTTGGAGTGGTTCACCTTCAATTTCACCTTTAATCAGCGGAACCACTACTTGTAGAGAAGTAAGTTAAATAACATTATAAAAGACCACATAAAGTATAACATGTACATAAAATAATCAAAAATTTACATGTATTGCATAATCAGGAGGTAGTTTGATAATAAGATGTAATAATGTAATGGGACCACATACAAATAAACAGATTGGAAATTTTAATATATAATTTGCTGATTAATCTTGCGATAACATTCAGATTAGTAATTTCTAACCATATGGTGGTTCAGTTGTGTTTTCATCTAATTCAACAACTGGCTTATTTCCTAATACTGATAAATTATAAATGATTTGGGAAAACATAGTATTACCTATTTCTTTTAATACAAATCCTAGAATTGAAGTTTCTATTTTAAGTAATGGAGAATTTGTAACAACTTCAACTGTAAAAGGCTATGTTTCCACTGTATCAATAGGTTTATTAGAATCATTATCAGTGAGTACACCAAATTTGATAAAAGCTTAAATGCCAGAATAAATTGCTGTTAAGGATGCTCCAATTAAATTATATATGGAAGCATTAAAAGTGATGGGCAACACATAGCCTATTCAATCATAAATAGATTTTAAGGATTAAAATGATGTATTGCAATATTAGATTCTATTTCCAACAATTTCAGTTCAAAATGATTAATTGACAGCTAGTTTAAATATTGAATCAACTGAAATTAATATCTATACAAAATATACTTTTAGTATAACAATCAAGAATGCATTGAATTCAGCAGGATTTGTAAGAATAGCATTAGCATAAACATTATTATCTTCTAATTTAATATGTTATTGTGATAATTCAGTAGCTATTCCAGTTGTTAATGTAGATTATATTGATATTGGAGGATGTCTAACAACAATAGGTAAACATAATATAGCTATTTAAAATGTATTAAATCCAATATCTACAATATCAACTATTACAATATCATATATTTAAACTATGTAGAATGGATTTTCAGTAGATAGAATGACAAATTTTCAATATATATCACCATCATTTACACCTGGAACTTTAAATGCTTAATATGAAAGACAAGGAAGTAGTTTGGATATAGTTGGAGATTATTCATATTTCATATTAAAAATAACACCTAAAAATATTATACCAGCTTCAGGTACATTAAGAATGGAAATTCCTTAGGAGATTAAATTTGTAAATCAAAATACTTAAACTTGTAATGTAGATTTAATAGGTTGTCAAATTCTTACAATTTAAGATTAAGTGTTAGTATTCAAATTATCATCATAATTAGAGGCTTCAAAATAATTTACTATTAATTAAATATCTATACCAATTAGAAATCCATTTGATACAAGTTAAACAAATTATTTTAAATTTACTACTTATGATTAATTCAATAATATAATAGACACAATCTCTAATGTATAAGGTTATTCAGTTAATACTAGATCATCATTTGATGGATTAATTATTATAGAATCAGATTAACCATTCAAAAATGGATAATCTAATACTTTTTAATTCACTATTAAAACTAAAACTCCTTAATTCTATCCTATCTAAATGTCTATCAAAGTTGGTGATTTAACAATCAATAATAATCCATAATGTAAATTAGAGGGAGCTGTCATTAAGACTTGCACTAAAATATCATCTAATTAATTAGATATATTAATTGAAAGTACTGATATACTTTTATTGCCAACTACATTAAAGTTAACAGTTTCAACTATCAGATGTAAAGATACTATGACTTAGAGTTAAGATTTTGAATTTTTTACTAAATCAACTAATGGATTAATGAGTTATCAAAAAGGTCCATATATTAGTAATACTTTATTTGGTGACATTACATAAACTGAATTGATTGTTGATAAATAATATTATGGAGCCTAGAATGCAGTCTATTAATTTAATTTTGCATTACAAAATGGATTAATAGAAGGTGTTTATTAGATTCATATCTTATTTCCATTCAATCTACCTTCCACTGGTTATTCATGTAAGGATACATCCAATAATAAATTGGACTGCAGTGTCTAATCCAATAATATTTTAGTTTTTACTGGACCTTTTGATTCAAATCAATTAAGATATAATATTATTGTGAATGGAATTTCAACTCCTCAAAATGAATAATAACCAAGAACATTTACAATTAAAACTTATAGAAAAATTGATAATTCTAATTATTTAGTTGATAGTTCAATTAATGGAGCATTTTAATTTAATTTATTTTGTCCTCAATTAAATAATTGTAGAACTTGCAAAATCATAGCATCTGATAATGTTTAATGTCAAACATGTTATACATCTATTATATCTAAATATATATATATGAAATAAAATGTTTGTGTAGATTTTTGTGGTGATGGATATTATTAAAATGAATAAGAATTAATATGTTAATAATGTCCAAACAATTGTTAAAATTGTTAACCTGTTAATAATGTTCTAATTTGTGATAAATGTTTTGATAATTATAACTATTAAGATGGTGTTTGTGTTGACACATGTGGTGAGACATATTACTTACCTTTGAATTCAAATAATAAATGTGAAAAGTGTGATAGTGAATGTATTTTATGTTCAATGAATTCATCATATTGTTCAAAATGTTAACCAAATATACCATTATATGATCATAAATGTTATAGTAAAGGATGTGAATAAGGATATTATTAAACTTATAATTCAAATAAGGTTTTAATTTGTGAATTATGTCCAGTTACTTGTATAAGTTGTATTACTAATGATTAATGTACTGAATGTTAACCTGGTTAATATTCTTTATCAGGAACATGTAGAGCAGATTGTCCTCTTGGTTATTTTATAAATGAAGAATAAATGCAATGTAAATCATGTATTTCAGGATGCAGCCAATGTTCAGATGATACTACATGTGTTAAATGTTCTGATGGATTCTTATTAAAAAATTAATAATGTGTATTAACATGTGGAGATTAATATTATATTGATAATTCTTAAACTTCTTGTTTGAAATGCAATTCAAATTGCCAAACATGTGAATTAAAAGATGAATAATAATTATGTAATTCCTGCATTAAACCCTATTTTTTTTCTAATTTCACTTGTATTCAATAATGTGAATCAAACTATTATTCAGT